ACAACTTCAAAAAGAAATATTTTTTTCAGATTTTTTAAGATTATTTGTGTTTAAAAATTTTGGAGGAATATGTTTTCATTTTTTTTTTTAATTTATTTATTTTTTTTGTTTTTTTTTTGAATTTCTTTTTAATTAAAAAAAAGTGAACATTTTCAATGTTATTAAAGAATATATTAAAAACAAAATATTTTTTCAAAAAAAAAAAAAACTTAAATAAAATTATAAATGATTTTTTATAAAATATTTTTAAGATGTCTTCAATTTTTTTTTTGGGAATTTTTTTGCTAATTTATTTTTTTTTTTTTAATTTTTTAAGAATAGATTTTTAAGATTTGTTATATTTTTTAAGAATTTAATTTAAAATATTTTTCCAATATTAAACGTATTGGATAATATCCTTTTAAAAAATGTAAACATTTTGTAAGGACATTTTTTACAAAATTTTGTATCCAAAAAATTTTTAGAATTAAGAATTAAAGAATTAAAAGTTTATTTGATAATATTTGTTAAATATTAAAAAATATTTTTTCAATATCAATTAAATATTTTTTTCAAAAAGTTAAACGATTTTTTAAGATTTTTTTGTTTTTTGTTTTCGGGTTTTAATAAACATTTTTGTATTACTTTTAAGAGTTTGGAAAAGTTAAAGTTTTTATTTTAAGTTTTGACAGATTTGATTTTTTTTGAGTTTGATTTTTCAACAAAATATATGTGAAAATTGTTTAATATCGTATGTAAAAAAATCCATTGGATAAATATCATGATAATATTTTAATTTTGAATTAAAAAAAAAATATCAAAAAATAAAGACATTTCCAATTTTGTCCATCTTTTGGATTTATAGCATCTTACAAATATTCTATCTAAATATCCTATATCTTCCAAAATAATTAACTGTATTTACATTAATATGAAATTCCATAACATGTTTGTTTTCTTCCTCTACTTCTCCCAAAAAATTGTTTTCATTTCAATGAAACGCGTGTTATGCCTCGTAACATAAAACGCGCCCCTACCACCAAAGTTGTATTGCTAAAAAAACAACAACAATTCGGCGACATGTGATGATGACGACAATGAAACATTGAAAATACCCCGGCAGCTGTTTGTATTCTGCACGAAATTTCATACATTTTACTTAATTATTATCCCCTGTCTCGAACAACAAAAACAAAAAATAGCGAACAAAAACGGGGGATGATTTCTTTCAACTTCTTTTATGTTTTTCTTCAAGCATTTTACTGAAATAAATAACATTGGTATGGAGGGGTGAATTTTTACCAAAAATTCAAATACTCTCATTAAAGAGAAGAGAAACATTATTTTTATATATCTACTGTATTTAAAATTAAAATAAAAAATCTTTAATTGGCAATGAAAAAAAAACGCAAAAATGCCCAACAAATCACTTAACGGCTATAAGTTGGCATCACTGGTAGTCTTGACTGACAATACATAACTACGACACGCACTACAATGCCAAACAATCAAAACTCACCTCACTCTCTCTACAACAGTGGAAGACAGAGAGAGGCAGAGTGCGAGCAAGCAAACATAAGGCAGAGAGAGAGAGATCAAGAGCAACATAATTCAGAGATGAAATAGCGTCATGAAGTTATAGTTTTTCAGTACGAAAAGTGTAGTGTGTTTTTGAAGATCGCTTGAGGGAAGAAAGAAGAAACACTGTTTTTTTTTGCTTTAATAAAATAAATAAAAGAATAAATTAATAAAAACAACAACAAAATAATATAAATTAATAACGAGCAAGAACATAAGTAAACCATAATCGTTGTCTGCCAACAAAATAAAGTGCCGGTGTACGCAATACTCTCTTCCCTGTTAACTATTACTAACAACAACAAAAAACGTAACACCACAAAGTGGAAAATCATCCCTCAAAATTTTAGCCGAAATATAATTCTAGCGTGGCCTTCGGATGCATTTTTTTTCTCTTACCATATAGTATTTTGCATTTAATGCGCAGCTTGTTTACATCGTAAACAGAAAAATACGGTCTCACATAAAATCGAAAAACTAAGAAGAAGAATAACAACAACAAGAAAACGAATAAAATGTAATAAAAGCAAAAATAAAAAAAAATCAAAGAATAACGAAATAAAGATCAGTGTATACGAAATTTAATACAACAACAAAAAATAGTGTAAAATAAAAAAAGTAAAACGAAATATAGCCAAGCTATAATGATCAAAAGAAAAAATATTGTACGAAAAATTAAATAAAATATTTAACAAAATCACAATACAAAAAAGAGAAAATATGTATGGCCATAACCATTATTAAACAGTGAAATAAAGTGTTAATAAAAGTATAGCCATCGGTTCAATTAAACCTAACGCCCAGCAATATAATACCAAAAAGGCTCACCGTGGGATAGAGTCTTAAATAATATTGCTTAAGAAACACAACAACAACAAATATTTAGCCATACGGTTGGATAGTGGTTAAATATTTTTTCTTTTATTTATTTCTATTAAACCTAATCAATTTAATATAAAAAATTCTATAAATGCAAACAATACAACTAGTAACTACTAAAATGTACATCAACAAAATAATACCCTAAAAATACAACCATGTTAAACGGTGGCTAAGTAAAACAAGCACGCTGCAGCAACCCTAACGTTGACAAGAAAGCAAACGCTCTTCTCTTTATCCCATACTACTCTCTACTATAGTAGTTTGTTTCGTGTGTGTGTGTGCCTAGTTTTTCTGTGTTGCCTGCTGCCTTCTCCATGATTGGGCTTCTTGTTTATTTTAATGTGGAAGAAATAAAACGCGAGACCGACCAACAGCCCAAAAAAGAGCAAGAAAGAACAAGCTAAATGTAAAAGTATTCTTTTAAATAAATTATGCAAAGGTAAAGTGTGCGTGTGTGTAAATTAATTTTAATTTATTTTTTGTTTGTTTAAATTATTATTAAATGTTAACGATTACTTTAAACCAGAGAAAGAATGGTTTAACAAGAAAATGAAAAAAAGAAACGAAAACATGGTGTGCGTTAAAGAAATTTTAGTGGCGCAAAGTAAGAAAAGAATGGAATAATAAAGAAAGAATGAAAAATGAAACAGTGTTACTAACGTGATTGTTTAGAAAAAACGCGATTTTTGCAGGATTATAGAGAAATTAAAAAAAATGCTTGGAAATTATTTTATTTTTAAGGAAAAGGAATTTTATGTGTTATGTGAGATATATTAAAATTAAATTGAAATAATATAATAAAATATATATAAAATAATTATTACAAAAAATAATGATAATGAATAAAAATTGTAAATTAAAAATCGAATGCCAATTTTTATATAAAATAAATATATTTCAAAATCTAATAAAATTACATATACAATATCAAATATAAATAGTCTCGTAACGAAGGAATTCAATATCAAATATTTCTTTTTTGAAAATGTGATAAATATTTCCATAACAAAAAAAAGGAATATCTTGCACAAATTTACAAAAATTAAAGAAAATATGGTGAATTTGTAATAGTATAAACGAAATAATAATTATCAATATTATATCCGAATTAAAAATATCACAAAATTAAGTGGAAATATATTATAAAAAAATTAATAATTAATTTTTTCGTTAGAAATGGTGCCAAAAACCTAAATATCTCCGTTTTATTGCTAAAAATCGCAACTAAACAAAAAAAAAAAAAAAAAACGCGAAAATGGATACGTCAAAATTTAACCACTTTCACAGCAGCAGCAGCGGAATATGAGTATTCAATGAAGCATGAATGGATACGATAATATTGGCTAATTAAAAGTGGAATTATATACATGTGCCCAATTATATGGAGTACAATTATGTATATCGATCAGTAGAGTGGAATTATTAAAAAAATATTAATCATGCTAAATGGATATATGAATATTATGTATATGTGTGTGTATTTTGGGTGAAATGCTTTTCAAAAAAAAAAAAAAAAATCAGAAACGAATAATAAATATTAGTTGCTTAATTTACCTCATGTGTGTTATTGAGCCATAATACCGTATAATATAAAAAAACATGTATTTTCAAAAAAAAAAAAAAAAAATGATGCAACAGAAATGCCCACAAAATATAAAAAACAATCACAATTCATTATTTTATTATTTAACGAAAAAATGCATTATTCTTGAAGAAATCCACGCTAAAATATTAATTTGAAAACATGCAACTTGTTCCTATGCTAGTATGCGAAAGAAAACGACATCTCCCATCATTTTAGCGCTTTTTTCCAGTTATTTATGTGGCAACACTTTCATTAACCAAACGTCGTAGCTGTCAAAATTCAGAGTTCACCTATTGTGATGTTGAAAAAGTCGGTGTTTTAAATAAAATCAAAAATTTTATATAAATTTAATATATAATTTGAAAAATAATTAATTTACGTAATTCTTCCAACTAAACAAATTAAAATTCAATATAAAAAACAAACCGCAAATCATTTCGGCGTTTTTTTATACTTGTTATTAATGGCAACACTCTCATTAATCCACCAAACGACATAGATGTCAAAAGAGTTTAAGAGAGTTTAACTATTGTAATAAAATAAAAACCAAACAAATGATACACAAAATTAATAGAAAATGTACAAAATAATTAATAAACAAAAACAATTTATATTAAATTAAAAAATGAAACCAATACACACATATTTAAATCTTCTGATAATGATTGCCATTGCATCTCTCATCATTTTGACGTTTTATTATGGCTTGCATTGATGACAACACTCTCATTTACTACTTAACTAATCAAACGAACGCACTGTCAAAACTGCTGCCTTTTAACGCAAAATGTCAATTTGTTTTTTATATGTTTTATTGCAGTGAATTTATTAAGCATTTCTTTAAACAATTAAATGTGAATAATTATTAACAAATAATATTCTAAATAATTGTAATGTAATGTGCAACCATTTTATTGATAATTTCGAAATATAAAAACCAATCAAAATCATTTTTATTTACCCTTTTTTACACAACAGGTCTACAGAAGACGTATCACCACCGAACTTTTCAGAACGGAACAGTAGCTATTATGAACGTAGCAATTCTCGTCTAGTTGCTGACACCGATTCCTATTTAAGACGTTCCAATAGCAATAATACAATTAGTAATTATCAAAGTAGCAGCAACAGCAGTAATTCAACATCAAATTTAGACAACAGCCGTAGCCGAACAAGAGATCGTGTATACAGAAATGGTCCATATGCGACAATTGGTGGTTTGTCATCATCATCATCGTCTAGTTCGTCTGCAGCAACAACTATTTTGAGTGAAAGGTAAGTGGTGAACATTTATTTTTAAAATATACATAATATAGGTTAAATAAATATGGTTAAATTGTTATATCGTTTGCAACACTTCGACATATTTATCGGAGACGACTCCATGAGGCCAGAGTATAAACCATGCAAAATTATGTCAAGACCTTTTGACTATTGAAATGACGATAAGAACCCGCAATATGCAATTTTTATTTTCCTATTACCATGTCCCAAAAGATTTAAAATTTACTATACAAATTGTGTCTCCATTCAGTTTAAAAATATTTTCGTCTTTTGTTTTTTTGATATTCCTAATAAAATTTCGTTTTAATTGTCAAATTAAATGTAAATTTTTCTTTCTTTTAGAATCTCAAGTGGTGGCGCTGCAAGCAAACACAATAATAACAATCGTGTTCCGCCTGCGTCATGGTACGAAGCTGCTGCGACGTATACAAACGGTCCTGGTGGCAGTGGCAATGCCGACGTCTCAGCAGCAAATATCAACAACCATTATCAAACTGCCGCCTCAACAGATACGCAAGCAGCAACAGCAACACAAGTGTCTACAGCAAATTCCTCAACAACAAACAATCCCACTGCATACAACGCATACAACAAATCTTCACCTGCCCACAAGAACAACAGCAATTCAGCAAGTTTATCGTCAACAGCAGCAGCGACGACATCATCGTCGTCGACTTCGTCGACAACTGCAGCCTTCAATACACCACGAAACAATTCAACGTTATACGGCAACGCTGCAGGACACAACAGTGTTGGCTACTACCATCATCATCAACAACAACAACAGAGAGGAGACAACAACGACTCATCCGGCATAGAAGGAAATCTGTTGTTGTTAAATAAAAATAAACATAAACTATTGAAATCCTGCTCCTCATCATCACGCAGTGGTTCAGCGTCACCAACATCATCAGCGGCAACGGCAGGAGTGGTGGCATCAACAATGACTTCATCCTCGACATCTGCCGCTTCCGCCGCTAATACCACCTCAAATTCTTCGTCGTCGTCGTCATCATCATCAGCTGTGGCATCGGCCAACAACAACCAAACGGCAAATAATAGTAGTTGTAGTAGCATTAGTAGTACAATCAATAGCAGTAATACAAATAATCATAACAATAGTTTACTAGCATCAGCGTCGTCGACTGCAGCACCAAATGCAGGAGACAACAATAGAAACGTTAGCGGGATTCTAAATGCCGCTGCGTTGGCGGCAGCCGCCTCAAATGGCAGTTCATCAACAGATGGCGACCACAACCACCACCAACAACATAAAAGTAGCAGTAGTAGTAGCAGCAATAATGTACATTCAAATTCTACATCGTCGAATGCCAACTCCTCCTCCTCCACTTCCAACAATCCTTCAACATCCGCCTCGCATCATACATCGCGTGCTGCGGTCCATGCGCATTTGCACGGTCGCAGTACCACATCGTCAAGTCGTTCGCATTCCCGATCACCGAGTAGCTATAGTTCGTCACACAGTTCTTCCTCGTCGTCCTCATCAACAGCCTCGTCACATTCGCATGCGTCGAGTCCGGTAGGAGGACGTGATGTAGAGACGACCACCAGCTCAACTACAGCTCCGTCAAGTCGAGGAGGTTCGCGAAGCCTTCAATCAGCTGTGGCGGTGCCAGGAACATCGTCGGCTCTAAATCCCAGTGGATCGGCTGCCTGCAGCAGTAGCAGCAGCAGTTCGAGTTCTACTGGTTCGGGAACACCATCCACAAATCCAGTTGTACATTCCGAAGACAATCGGCCATTGGCGATACGGGTGCGTAATTTGCCTGCGCGCTCCTCCGACACATCACTGAAAGATGGCCTTTTCCATGAGTACAAAAAGCATGGCAAAGTTACATGGGTGAAGGTGGTGGGACAAAATGCCGAACGCTATGCGCTTGTTTGTTTCAAGAAGCCCGAAGATGTCGAAAAAGCTCTAGAGGTTTCGCATGACAAACTGTTTTTTGGCTGTAAGATTGAAGTGGAACCGTATCAAGGTTACGATGTGGAGGATAATGAATTTCGTCCATACGAGGCGGAATTGGATGAATATCATCCGAAATCTACGCGAACCTTGTTCATTGGCAATTTGGAGAAGGAAATCACAGCCAGTGAACTGAGACTCCACTTTGAGTGTTTCGGTGAAATTATCGAAATCGACATTAAAAAGCAAGGCATGTCCGCCTATGCATTCTGTCAGTATTCCGATATTGTGTCTGTGGTCAAAGCCATGCGAAAAATGGATGGCGAACATTTGGGTAATAATCGCATAAAATTGGGTTTTGGCAAATCAATGCCGACCAATTGTGTTTGGATCGATGGTATTGGCGAGAAGATCTCTGAATCGCATTTACAGTCGCAATTTTCGAGATATGGTGCGGTCAGTAAGGTGGTGATTGATCGCCAGCGCCAATTGGCTTTAGTCTTGTACGAGCAAATACAATATGCCCAGACAGCAGTGAAGGAGATGAGAGGAGCAACATTGCGTGGACGAAAATTGCAAGTGGATTTTGCATCCAGGGAATGCCAAGATGCATTTTATGAGAAGTTGGAAAAGCAAGCTGCAGGTGAGTTGCAATTTTATGCATTTTTTCGTTTTGTGATATATGACTGACTCTTACCAAATACCTATAGAGAAAGATAACTATTGTGTTCTATGATTCCATTTATTTTCCACTTTATTAAACGTTTGCTTCTTGCAATTTCAGGATCTCGTTTTAGCCGATACGAATCACAGTCACGTTCCCGCGCTTCATCTTTCAGCCGACATCAAAATTCGAATGATGGCTGTTCGCCCAGTAATACACCGGGTAGCAGCAGTAGTAGCAGTGCTGGTATACCATCTTCAGCACCAACACTATCATCCGCGATTGTTGCCGGTTCGTCCATTAATTCCTCGTTAAACAATCCAAGTGTTGGCACATTGCCATCAGTTGTGGGACAAACATCGGGCAACACCACACCAGCTCGGAGTCGGGGATCACGTAGTTCTCGTCACACAATGGACTATGATTACATCGACACACGAAGATTTCGTTCGTACGATGAATACAGCCAAGGATCGGGAGCTTCACATGATGAAGATGCAATAATGTCATCATCGAATCATCCCAGCTCCAATGCGTACAGTGGCATCGGTTTGAGGTCTGATTCACCGCTATTGTCACGGCTGGGTCCAATTGTTAACAACAGTAGTGGCAAAGAGTCCAATAGTGATATGTTGGAGATGGCTTTAAGTCGTCGACGTTGTGATAAAAGTCCTGCAAAACAAAAAGGTGAGTTTTAATTTCCCCGACCCAAGCATTTACATTAAATACCCACTCAAATTTAATATTTTTTTGTGTTTTTCTAGGCGATGTGCGATTGTTTCAAAAAGAACGTGCCGTTTTGTTGGAACAGCTCGAAGAGTGCCCGTCCAGTGGTGATGAAAGCATAGTAAGCCCGCGCAAGCGTATAAAAATTGATCATCATTCCATTAATTCCAGCAGTGGATTGGTATGTATTAAAAGCAATCGCTTTTCTTGTTGTTTTTATTGTTGTAAGTAAACTAATAACCACATTGTTTGTTTTTGTTTTTGGCATTTACAGTCACAGTCTCATTCGTTGGAAGAACAAACACAACAAAGCAAAAACTCAAACTGTGATTATCTTCTAAATGATTCGATGCATCGCAAGGGTGAAGTAAGAAGACTATCCGAGTGCAGTAACAGTCTCAATAAATACCAACAAGCCGCCGCCAATCATCACCACCATTCGTCGCACCATTCATTAAATCCTCATCATCACCATCATCAGCAACAACAACATCAGTTGAGTCGTCGACCGTCCATTGATTATATGGCGACTGGAGGGGGTGGTGGTGGAGGGTCTAGTGCCAGTATAGGTGGTAATCTATCGACAAGACATGGTAGTACAAGTAGTTCAAATAGTGATCATCACCTGCCACCACATCAGTCATCGTCCTCTTCGTTGGCATGTAAACGGAGACGGGTCGTTGGAAGTGGAAGTGGTAGTAGTGCTCTGAGTACAAATGCCGCTTTACTTTCATCTGGCTCAAGTGGCAGTGCAAACCTATCATCGTCGTTTGCCGGTGGGGATGATTTCCATCATCATGCGTCCCGGGGTCGCGGTCATCAACTACATTCCCATCACTCCCATGAAGCTAGCGGCGGAGAAAGTGCTGATGGCTCAAGACCGGGTACACCACTGTGCGATGAAAGACCCGAAGTTCTACCTAGTGAACCGCGCAGAGTTCCACGTGAAAGACCTCGTGAGCCAATGGTACTGCCATTGCCCAAATTTGGCATTCAGTTCTTTCAACAACATCGCACCAGCAATGCATCCGCGTCGTCCACCAGTATGGGTGCGACGTCGTCATCATCGTCGTATCATCATCACCATAGTGGTAGTAGTGGTTTTACAAGCTCTTCAACAGCTGCTGCTGTTGGTAGCACCAACTCCGGTAGTAGTTCACACATGCTGTCAAACAGCTTAACGAATCGCGGAGTAGGCAGCGGCGGCGGCGGCAATGAAGGAGGCATTAATAGTAATCATTCTAGTCATAGTTCTATAACATCGGCAATATCCTCTTCAGCAGCAACAACAACCGGATTGCCAATGGGCTCATCGGCACCAACAGCATCATCGTCGTCATCAGGTGGCGGTTGTTATTTGCCCAGTCCTTCGTCTCGATATCCGCCCTGGCGGCAACATCATCACCACCACCATCATCATGGGAGCAGCGGCCATCATGGTGGCGGCGGTGCTACACCCTCTTCTTCATCATCAATGGTTAGTCCCATGAGGTCACGTTCTCTCAGCTCCAATTCCAGTGATTCTGATGTAACTGGCCAAGCAAGTGGCAGCCCCTCATTAGAAGAACGTATACGTACTTTGGATGAGTGGTATGAGCGCTGGTCAGGCGGCAGCAGTTCAACGGCGCCCGGATCGAACGTGGTAAAACGCCACGATTTCGGGAACACACCACCAACGTGGCAACATCATCGTTCATCTTCACAAACCGACCTGCATCATTCGGCGGTAGCCCCGACTGTAACGCCAGCAGCAGTTACATCCTCCTCTACGGGTGATGTACGGCCAAGCAGCAGTGCTACACCATCAACTCCCGCCAGTCGTCACAAGTTTCTTGACATCGATGTCAAGGAGATACAACCGTCGGAGATTGTCAAATCGGTTTTGGCCAAGAAATCGATATTTGACGATGATCTGCAGCGTTTAAAGAAAAACCATTGGTATGAACCATCGACCGATTCTTCTCAACTGGCGAAGAATGCTGTGGGTGTTTGTACATCACCGGGGCTGCCAAATCTGCAGGCCACCAAAACGCCGGTAGTGGGATGTACGACTACAAGCACCTTGCCAATGTCATCGGTGGGGAATACCACGAATAAAGCATCTGCTGGTGGCCTATTGCAACGTTTAACAAGCCTGTCGCCGATGAATTCACCTCAGGCCTCGATGTCACCGTATCACAGTCCATCCATGTCTCCATCTGTCAATAGTGTATCCACTCTGTCCAGTCTACAAACAACAAAAACTACAACTGCAAGTAGTGGTAGCGGCAGCGGCAGCAGTAGTGGTGGAAATGCAATGGCTTCGCCTTCTCCTGTTGCTGCTGGTGGTGGTTGTGCAACAGGGCCTGGTAGCTCGCCGGCAACGGCGACAGCATCCGGCGGCAGTAAATGTTTGCAATATCCATTCCCGACACATCCGCCACTGCCAAACACAGCAGCTCCATCGCCCAATAATCAGCCAATACCACCTCCGCCTGCAGAAACGTCGAAACCACCTCCCCTGCCTCCTATGGAAGTCCATCAACCACCTCAACCTCCACCAGTAACTGCAGCCTCGTTGACGTCGGCGACATCGTCTGCGCAGAACACGACGGCGAATGTTACTTCAAAGCCAAAGACAGGAACGCCAACACTATCAAAAAGCTTAAGTGTTCCAACGGCGGCCGCTGGACCTGCAGCAGCGCCAGTTCCCTCCTCTGAGACGCCTCGTACCCTTACCAAATCAGTATCAGTTCCTGGCAGTACAAATATGGGAACAATAAAAACAACAGCCGCTGCACCTACAGTTTCTTCCACTACGGAACAAAAGCAACAGCAAAAAATGCAAACCGGTAACAGTTCCTCCACTGCTGAATCGTCGTCATCGTCAACAAGTAATCCAACTACGGCTACCACAATGTCCGAATCAACAACGACTGGTGGCGGTGGTGGTAGTAAGCGTAGTGACAAATCGCACAAACACAATCACCGCAGCAGTGATGACAAGAAGTCGTCCTCGTCTTCGTCGTCCTCGTCTAAAAGCGACAAACGAAAAAATTCCAGCTCATCTCAGTCACAAATCTCGCAAGTTTCGGCTGCGGAATCAAGCGATGTCGACGACCGAGGAGATTTCGAACATCGCAAAGATCGTGAATCTTCGAGTCGTTCTGAAAAGCAAAAGGAACGCCAAGAAAAGCGTGAAAAGGAACTGAGAAAACAACAGGAGAGGGAAGAGCGTGAACGTGAAGAGCGGGAGAGGGAAGAACGTGAACGCATTGAAAAGGAGTTGCAGAAAAAAGAACGCAATGAACGGGAACGTTTGGAAAGAGAGCGACGTGAACAGGAGGAGCATGAACTACAAATGCAACGGGAAAAGGAACGTTTACGCAAGGAGGAAGAAAAGGCCCGCGAAGAACGTGAACGTAAAGAACGTGAAGAAGCTGAGCGAAAATTAAAGGAACAGCAGCAAAGAGAGCGTGAAGAACGTGAACGGAAGGAGCGTGAAGAGAGAGAAAGGAAAGAGCGTGAAGAACGCGAACGGAAGGAGCGTGAAGAGAGGGAAAGAAAAGAACGTGAAGAACGCGAAAAGAAAGAACGTGAAGAACGCGAAAGACGTGAACGAGAGGAACGTGAAAAACGCGAACGTGAAGAACAAGAAGAGCGACTACGGAAGGAGAGAAAAGAGCGTGAAGAGAACGAGCTGCGTGAAAAAGAGAAACTCGAGCGCCAGCGTTCAAGAGAAGAAAAAGAACGTGAGCGCAAGTCACATGAAGATAACGCCGCTACTAACGAAAAACAACGAGATCCTCACAGCTCAAAGGAAAGTTATCGTAGAAAAGTAGAAACCCCAGCAGGTGGACAAACGACACCTTCCCATCATCAATCCGATCATTTTCGACATGGTGAATCGACAGAGAAACCAAAAGAAAATACAGCATCCGCTGATGAGCCTATGGACTCTGTTTCGACTGCTGCTGTAACCGCTAGCAGTGGTAAACATAAAAATCGCAAAACTTCACGTAATACATCGCCCGTTCGCCATCCCAAGCGAAGACTTAGCAGTCAGGATAGTAATGCCAGCAACTGTGGTGGCAACACCGAACCCGGGGATGCCCATGCAGAGGACGCGAAACGTATGCGTATTGATACACAATCAACTACGTCCAATCAGACGACCCACAGTCACGTTACCAATAACCACAATGCAAGTAGTAGTGCTATGGTCAACGAAAGACGCGAGTCCAAAGAACAACAACAATCACAACACCATCACAGTAAAGATAGGAACAATAAACACAATCGTTTGTCCTCATCATCATCATCGAGTCACAGAAGCAGTTTGGTTAGTACCTCCGACAAGGAGCACAATTCAAAGCACCATCGCAGCAATAAACATCATCACAAACAACAGCAACAACAACACCAGCAGCAACAATCGTCATCATCATCCTCTCAGGTTGAGCAAAGTAATCCAACCGGGGGTGAAGCTGCGGAAGTGGTAAATACAACTTCAATATCGGAAGTTGAAACAGTCGCAACGCCAGCAGCAGCTAAAGCCGAAGATGAACAAAACACATCTGATCATGAAATGGAAACGAAATGTAAAACCGCTTCGTCAGACGACGAGGAAACAGGGACAGCCGGCAGTCATCACCATCATCAACACAGTTCCACAAATAAGAACACATCAGGAAGTGGTAGTGGTCACAAACATAAGGAGCATGGCAGTGGCGGTAGTGGTCATCATAGTCGTCACAAAAGTAGCAAACGAGATCGTGATCATCACCGAGAAAAGAAACGCCATTCAACTCCTGGTGGTTTGGCGGCGACGACACAACCGGCAAATTCAACAGCAAATACTGAGGCTCCGATAGGCAACACTCAATTGCCTGTGCAGTCGCCGACAACAGCAGCACCATCATCCAATATTAGTAATGTGGCAACTGATGAAGAACTAATGCCGTCACTAGAACCCCATGTGGTGGCTCAAAGAAGAACATCGTCGAATAACAGCAGCAGTACGATGACGGCGGCGGCGGCGGAAACACAATCAAAATCCCACAAGAGTGAACATGGTGGCACAACCGAGCCGCAGCAACAAGGTAGACATTCACGTGGTTCCGAAGAACCACCACAGACACCAACTAGTCGCCAGCAGTCTTCATCCGGCTACAACAAGAGCACACCCCAGTCGGGATCAAGAAAAATGCTACTTAGCTCAGCCGAAGACACCGACGGCGGAGGAGGAGGTGGTGGTGGTTTGGGTTGTGACGACGACGATGATGATGATTCGGATTTCATGAATAGAAAACATTCAATATTCGATATACCAGATGAGGGGCCATATGTTTCAATGTACGACAAGGTAAAGGCAAGATCTTGCAAAAATATGCAAAAGCAAGAGGAAGAGAAAAAGATCAAGGCGAAATTCTGTCAATTGAAACAATCTCGAGCCAAGAGGGAAGAAAAGAAACGTTCCACCAGCTATGATGGTGATTCCGATTCAGATTTCGATAACACCGGCGACACGTCGTCACATCATCATCGCAGTTCATTTAAGATGCACAGCGGAGCTTTAACCTCGACAGATGATGAACATGATCATCATCACCATGGCCACAAATCACCCTGTGATGGCGAAAGAAGACGAAATTCTCAGGCCTCGTCCTCAGCTGCATCAAATCACGCCAACCGTCTGTGCTCGGATTCCGATGACTCCGAAGTGCAGCGCCGCTTAAAACTGCAAGACAATATCCGCAAATTGTGCGATGTTGACGATAGCTCTGACGATGATCTGATACGTCGCAATAGCACAAGTGGTGGCAGTAAACGACTGCTCCATCACACATCACGTATAGCATCCGATTCTGAGTCCCAATCACAGCCACCGTGTGACATCAAATTGAAACAAGAACCCATTGAAAACGATGGCGACACCTCCACACCAATTCTCAAACAAATGAAATATAAAATCAAGAAGGAAGTAATAGACACACAGATGCACACATCGGCACATGCCAGTGCCATTGAATCATCCGATTTTGATGACATCAAACCGAAACATTTGAATTTACATCGCACGGCCAATAGTATCCACAATGATGGCGGCGGTAGCGGTGATGCATCGATATTGGCCAGCATTAAAACCGAAAATGAAGATGTCGTCCTCACGGCCAGCGATATTAAAAAGGAATATAAAGTATTTTATGGTGCCGAGGGTGCCGTGAGTGGCAGTGGTGATTATAATATTGAATCATCTGAAGATAAGTTCCAAAAATCGGCATCGGCGGCATCAGCAGCATTTCATTGTTCGCCTGAGCATGGCAAAATTAAGAAACACAAAAAGAGTAAAAAACGACAAAAGACACCAACACAGGACTCGGGTGGAGGAATGGTTGCACCACCATCCGCCAAGGAAGCAATTTCCTCATCTGTTGTGGATATGCTTAAAAGTTCTGTCACAACAAATACTGTTCACGGCAGCAGTGATGGTGAAACATCCACCACGACGACGACGGCAACCACATCAAACAATGCAAATAAAAATGCCAGTCCACAAAATGTGGCCGCCAAACATTTGCCATCTTCTCCCAATTACGATCCATTTGATGAGCTAAAGAACTCTGAGCCAATGAATAGCAACAGCCATATTTCAATGACAGAAGCAACTGCGCCACCCGGCAGCGTTGCCGCCCTTGGTGAAAAGAAACGCCACAAGGATCGCAAGGAAAAGAAACGGGAGAAACTACGCCACATGAGTGCCGCGGCCGATGTTGGCCAGGGTATTGAAATGGATAAACTTTACGAAAAGGAAAAGCATCATCGCCTCAAAAAGTCCAAGAAATCCAAGAGCCTAGACATGATTCGCCAATCGGCAACTACACAAAGTGGTGCCGTAATGCAGAATATGCAAATTACTGGTGGGTCGGCTTCACCACCCACAAGTGGTGGTGGTGCTGTAGATGGTTTTGCAACTTCCCAGCATAAACAACGCAGTGGTGGCGAAAAGTTGGAAGACATTTTTGGTCCCATATCCGATGAGGAAGAAGAAATGACAGATAGTGACATTGGTGCCGGTCGAGATTTGAATTGTCTATCGAATCGTAATGCCCTAACGGCCAATATGACCGGGCCCATTGTTTCGGCTGCTTTGAATCCCTACAAACAAGAACCTCTAACACCAAAATCCCACACCGTCGAAGAAAATGAGGAGAATAAACAAAAATGTCCTGCATTAAGTGGTGGTGGCGGCGGACAATCTTCGCACATGGAAAGATCTGTGGAGCGACAGCATCGCAAAGAGAAGCGGGAGAAGAAACGTAAGGATCGTGAGAAATCACGCAACTCTGGTTTAGATCACAATGCAGTTGCGGCAGCCGCTGCAGCAGTGCAGTCGCAATTTATGCCATCACCTGCAGTTGCAGTTACCAGCAGCAGCAGCACAAATACACCTGCCAAACCATTAGAAGATGAAAACAGTGTGGACTTGGATGCAGCTGGTCGGGCTCTTGAAGCCCAACTAATGGAAGACTCCGATAACAAGAACACCGAGGACGCAACTCCCTCAACGGCAGCAACTTATCGCAGTGATATGACCGATGTATTCCGTTTTTCGGATGGTGATGAAAATTCACTGGAAGTGACTGCTGGTGGTTGTTCAGCGGTGGCTGCGGCCACTAAACATGACAATCGAGAAGTGAGTGCAGTGCAGCAGGATAAGGATCATGTGGCGGCGGCGGCAGGCGGCAGTAGTAGTGGCATGAAAACCAAAAAGAAAAAGAAGAAACGTTCCAAGGAAGAGAAACAATTGCATCATCAGCAGCGAAGAGAATCTTCATCTTCGAATGCATCTCAACATACTACAGCAACCGGTTCCTCCGCAGCTTCCTCTTGCATTAATCCACCTGCAAGTACTACTAGCAAATTGACCATTGATATAGCTGCAGCCAATAAGAATTCCCAAAAATTGGCCAACGAAGAGCATAACGAACAGGGATCATCGTCTAAATCCTCGCCCCTATGTAAACCGTCACCCAGCTTGCCCTGTCTCATTGGGGATGATGATGACGAGGAAATGTTGCCACAATCGCAAGCCAAATCAACAGCCGCAACAACACCCAACACTTCATTGACCTGTACAACTGCATGCATAACACCTCATCGATCTTCATCGTCAAAGGATTTGCTTTCTCTCTCGCCACACTTGAGGGATAAACAAATGATTAGCCCCATACCAAAAACTCCAACGATAAGCAATACCAGTGGCCTTAATTCAATGGAGAATATGAAAAAATTAACACCAACAACTCCTACCTCATCCACTGCAATGGAAAGCACCAGCAACAGTACAACACAACATAACACCAACAATGCCATTACCACAACACCAAAGTCTTCCAATGGAAATGTTGCTGGCCCCGGAGCTACACTACTCCTCAGTACATTGAATAAATCAACTGATTCCATTACCTCATCATCCTCGTCGGCAACTGCGATGGCAACGGCAACCTCAACATCGATTGCAATGGCTTCACCCACCAGCGCCGTCACTACAACGACGCCGCTGGCTTCTTCTTCAATGCCCACCACCACAACAACGACCACGCAGAAGAAAAAGCCCGACATTTTCATACCCGGTTTTGATGGAGAAATCGATGAAAAAATTAGTGAATCTGCGGTTCAATCCATATCGGCTGAATTTAATCCGCCACTAGATCCCACAGCAGATGAACCAAAAATACCAGTGGAATCACCACCGGATGCTTCGAAATTGGAAAAACTCGAAGAGTCCAAATCGCGTGTAACCATATCCCAGGAGGAAACCGAAAGTGCGGTATCTGCCTTGTTGGGCGAAAGCTTTGGCAATTCCTCGGCTGACTATTCCTTCGATGATGATGTACCTTTGGATGATTTGAATAGTGTCAGTGCCGAACCTGAACCGGCTATGATGGCACCTGCTGAGCCCGATGAGGAAGCTGCTCTTGCCGCTAAGGCAATCGAATGTGAAGTCGAGAGTAATGCCGTAACAGATGGCATTGTGGAAGACACCGATGCCGAAGAGGTGTGCAAAGCCATACAGAGCCTGAGGCAAGAAGAATTGGAGCTGAAATCGGCGGATACGCCACAATCTGTACGTGATTTACAAATCGATACCGATACCGAAGAAAATGCCGATGAGGCTGACAGCAGTGGCAGTCATCATAGTTTGAAAATTGATGAGACTGCCCAATCTAATAATAGTTCTTCGGTGTCGGAGAAGGCTCAGAATAACAATGGCTCATCGATGTTGTCAGATAGTCATGGCGATAATGAGGTCACCAAAACAATAACAACAGCAACGACAACAATGCAAAAACAACAGCAGCAACAACAACATCAATCATCGGTTATAACAAAAATGGAAGCAAATGTTAATTTGGCACAAATTTCGCTGAATATTGAACCAAAACTGGAACCACCAACCATAACGAAACAAGATCAGCCAGCTGTACAACCAGTGCAATCAGTAATACCTGTCACCACTATGGAGACAGTCACATCTGTTGTGGTTAGTTCGGTGGGAACTTTGATGTCGTCGTCCTCCTCCTCCTCGGTGTCCACAACATCAATGACGACAATGACGACGACGACACCAGCAGCGACTACAACAATATCTTGTACATCTACACCCATCAAGACGTCAATTACATTTGCTCCCTCTGCAACGACATCTTCAACACCAAAACAACAACAGTCGGCTCAGGCTCAGCCGCAATCGCCACAGGGCGCTATTATTAAACCCTTGTCATTGCCACCGCCAACAACAATTTCCTCCAGCTCCACGGTGGTATCGACAGGGTATGTTATGCAGCCTCCAACAATAAGTATACCCGAGCCACATTTCGTTGTACCCCACATGGTATTATCACCACGTGGCGGCGTGGTCACCACAAATTTACACGATTCGTCGGGTTCTTCTACGTCCTCGACGTCGTCAATACATTCACCCCAATCATCGTCTGCAATGCAAATGCCACCACAATCACCAATTGGCACGGCGGCCTATTTAATGGGTATGCGAGCTCAATCGCCGCATAGTCCGCGTAATACTTCGCGTGGTAATACACCAACACCAAGACAGCAGAGTCCACATACACCCACACCACCGCCGCCGGCTGTTACAATTTCTTCAATGGCATCGCAACATCAGCATAATATCCTAATACAAAGGGCAAGTTCGGGCATGCATCATCATCATCATTCACAGATGTCTCCTAATAACTCGCATCAACTGGTGGTGACAGCCCATCCGGGTGGTGTAACAATGAACAGCCCCATGGCAAGTCCTAATTCCACACAATCACCACGACCTCAACATTTGCTGACCTCATCATCCACTACCGCTACTCTACAGAAAATGCCCTCACACAGTTCGCCAGGTGGCGGTGGCACTCCAGCAGAGCCTCATATGATCAAGATAAACAATTACTCAACGCCACCAATGCATACTGCAAATGTGGTTAGCATTCGAATACCACCACCTCAAAATGCCCAAAATCCACAACAACAACAATGTTCACCCCAGCAGCAACAACATCAGGGTTCGGCGGCAACCTCACCACATGCAACAACAATGTCTGGTGGCAAAACTGTAATCGAACAGCAACATCCACATCCTCCCATTGGCCAACATATTTTACCAATATCGGTACAAAAAATGGCTCCAGTTCCCACACATCCTACAATAATCAGCAAGGTTGTGACGGTGACACCCCAGCAAGCTCAGCAATCGACAATACCGCCTCACAGTCCTGGTGGTGGTTCTGGTGTCTTACACAACCAACAAAATTCACCAAAATCATCATCAACGACAGTATATTCACCTCCGCCGCCACAATCGCCAAGTTCAAGGCATTCACCACAAATTATACAGCAAATGGGTGGCAATATTGCTGCGCAGCAGCCGCCGCAGAGTGTGCAAGCCCAAATACAAATGATACAACAACGTCAACAGCAGCAGCAGCAACAACAACAGCAACAGCGTCAACAAATGCATCAGCATATAATGCAAATGCAGCATCAACAAATGTTCCATCAACAGCAGCAGCAACATCAAAAAATGCAGCAGCAACAACAGCAATATGCGGCGGCCACTCAGCAGCATCAGCAACGTGGTCACATGAATTCGCAGCAGCAACAACAACAGGCGCAGCATTTGCAACATACCCAAGCTCCACAACAGCCAACAATGCATCAGTTGCAATCGCATCAAATAAAAACACAACACCACTATCAGCAGCAACTAATGCCATCGGCTCCCTCACCCCAACACTCGTCGTCCTCGTCACAGGCTTCATCAGCCACAAACCACCAGCCAACAACAACCAATCAGCATGGCCAACAGCAGCAGCAAAATGTTATTCAGACACCACCCTCAACACCCCAGCGCTTTTTAGTGCAGCAACATATTGTGGGTATACCGCCGCACTTGCAAACACCACAACAGCAACAACAACAAAATATTGGCATGCAACAACAACAAAGATCTTCACCCACCACCACCATGATGCAACCACACCAAGGCAATACAATGTTTGGAAAATCTCCACAACAACAGCAACAGCAACTTCATATGCATACGTTGCAACAATCGCCCAACTCAGTGGGGGGTGCTGGAGGACAACAACAACACCAACGACTAGCCTCTTCACAAGAAACAATAGCATCATCTGTTGGTGGTGGCAGCATTACGGAAACTATTTCGCGTGTCATAGTTTCGACACCACAAACAACGGCGGCTACGATTCCATCCACTGCCGCCAACAGCAACCCATCGTTGTCAACAGTTGGTAGTGATAATAGTGGTTCTGGAACAGCTCAAGGCTCATCTCAACAACAGAGACAAGCTGAAAATGTTTCCGTGATTCGGACACCCACTCCAACAAATACGGGAATATCAACTGGCGGGGCACCAACAACAATAACCACGTCAACACCAACCATTGTGGCACCCACCCCCACCACCACCACACAAGCTACCAAAGAATCATCAACAACAAGTGCCCTGGTGGCATCCAGCAATAATAACATTACAGCAAATACATCGGCCGTCGAATCGGCTTCAAATCCTACTCCTCAGCATCATAGCTCAATAACAAGATCCTCACCCATAACAGCTGGGGCTGCTGCAGCTACAGCCGCGGCTGCCCCTCTGACCGAAGAGAATATTATTAAAATATCTCCACCCAAACAAGATGAAATTGAACAGGATTCCAAAGAGGATAGCGACTATTGGTCAGCCAAAGAGTTGAATGTGGTGGAGCCAAATGTCAGCAATAGTAGCAGCAGCAGCTTGGCAGCAGCCACAACACACAGCGTTATTAAGAAAAATGATAATGCAACAGCAGCAGCAACCACCACAACATCTGTGGTAACATCTCCAACAACAACAACGGCTTCCACAGCAGCCAACACAGCCATGGCCAACAAGCAACAACATCATGAGGACACAAAAGATGCCTCAAATACTCTAGCTCCGAAATCATCATCGTCTGGTACTGATTTGTTGACAGCAAAATTGAATCATGTGGATGCTGCTGCAGAACCGCTTACAACTACGGCTCCGGCTCCTCCAACTACATCAACAGGCTCATTCAATGCCCAACATTCGGTTAGCAGCTCTTCTACGACAACGACAACAGTCAATACCGATCATGATACCGAGGATGAAACGGAAACTCAACAAATGCCAGTATTTGAACAGATTTCCGTACAAGGTAGACCAAATACACGAGGTGGCACGGGAGCCAAGCGGGGTCGACAACCTAGAGGTGGTAAAAAGGCAGCAGCGGCAACTGTTATTCCACCTCCAGCTACAGTTGGAGCCCAAGCTAGCACTGCTGCCAATCAAATACAAGACTCTGGATCACAACAAAGCCAAACATCAGGCGGAGGAGTTCAGACACGTTTAAGGAAACCAAATGCCGCAACACCAGCTACCAGAGGACGTAAAGGTAGGCCACCAAGGAATTTGTTATTGCAACAGCAGCAGCAACAACAGCAACAAGAGCTACAGGCCCAATCGGCGGCGACGACGTCTGCTGCTGCCTCTAACGCAACAGCAGCTACACAGCCCCCTGGACCAACGATTTTAACAGCTGCCGAAAAGAAAGCCAGAAGTCAAGCAGCCTCAGCTGCAGCAACATTGGCTTCACTTTCTGAGGTACACCATCAACAGCAGCAGCAACAACATCAACAACAAAAAACCGATATTTATGAATTCCATGATGATTCTGGTGAAGAAAGTGGAAAATCTGCATCCAGCTCCTCAGTAACAGCTAGTAGCTTAGTCAGTAGTGGCGGTGGCGGCAGTGGTGTTGATAATCGTCCACGCCTGATTTTGACCATAAAAAGTCCACATAATCCAACACCTGTGGTTAAGACTAGCGAAAAATTGGCCAATGAGCAGCAGCAGCCACAGCAACCAACAACAATTGTTGAGCAACAACAACATCAGGCAGAAGGCCAGGCCACTGCAACATCTGTAACCGATAACGATTTGAATTCCCTTGCCAATATAAGGAAATCACGTCGATTATTGGAGAAAGATCGCAGTACCATTGATGATATCATCGAAGATGTGGTGCGAAATACACCACAACAATTGTTGGGAGCGACTAATGCACAACCGGCGGCCCTCCAACAGCCTCAGACAGCAAATATATTGGCGAATGCTTTGCCAAAGGGAGCTCAAACACCACCCAGAAGATCGGGTCGTACATCTGCCTCTGGTGGTGGGGCTCAGCCTAAGGGAGGTAAAATCACTGAAACGCAAGCCACAGTTGGCACCGGAAATGCCATTGGACGACCCCGAAAATCCAAAGATCGCAAGAGCGTTAACGATTTGGATAGCAGTGATCATTCGGTTACTTCGCCTCAACCCTCTAAGGGGGCGGCTGCTGGTGTTGTTCATGAAATTGTGGATTTGGATGATGGTAATACCTCAGAGAATAGTTTCAAATCGGACGATAAACAACAGGCGCCACCGCCAACATCTTCATCAGCGGTGGTTTCTTCAATGCCAAGCCCGCAGACAACTGCAACAGTTTCAGTGACACCGCACACCACCAACACCACAACAGCAGCACCGAGCAGCAGCGGCGGCACAATAATACCACAACATCCGAAAAAGAAGGCCTTGGCTGCAGCCGAAATTGAGTCGTATCAGACTCAAGGATCATTAAGTAATCCAAATATACACTCAGCTCTGCCATCGTGTGGTGGAGTTCCAATGCTGAATACGGCTGCTCCAGCCTCACAGAAAACTACCGGTGGTGCCGCTGCAGATTCGGTTAATAAACCTGTCATCGATACCAACACTGCTGGTATTGTGCCCGGCCAGCAACAACAAATGCCACAGGCTAAGGCCGGTAATTTGCCATCAGCTACCGCTGCAGCTCAGCCACAACGTCCACCTTTGGATCCCAAGAAAATGATGCAAGCTGCAGTGGCTGCTGCCGCCGCTGCATCAGAGGTTGGTAATAGTGTGACGATCACAAATAAATCGTTGTCGTCAACACCACCCACAACAATGACCCAGGGATCGGTGGCGACACCAATAACTGCTCTCACAAAACCAGTTCAAGTAGAGAGTGCCACCGCAGCAGCTGCGGCAGTAGCATCATCATCCTTGACCAGCGCCTTACTTAACAAATCATCGGTAAGTGTTGTGGTCAAGACGAATTCGGCAATACCCCCACCACAAAGCACCACAGCGGCGACTCATGTCAGCAGTCAACAAAGTGGTGCAACAGCCCAGCAGCAGCAACAATCTTCCAGACCTACAGAAATGTCAACATCGTCGTCGTCGACACCAACCAAACAACCCATTATTATGCAACAGCAAACACCATTGGTTATGCATGCTCAGCATACAAATGTAAGGCCGCCAACAAGTTTGAAGGCCCATGTGTTGAATAGTCAAAAACTGCAGCTGCAGCAGCAACAACAGCAGCAGCACATATCCGGGGCACAACAACATCAGCCACAACATCACCAGCAGTTGCATGCTCAGCAGACACCATCGAAACAACCACAAATGTCCCAACAACAACATCATCTTATTGCCCATCAACAACAGCAACAATCAGGAGCTGTACAAGCACCTCCTCCTCCGCAGGGACATGTCATACAATCGAATATTGTACAACGCCAGCAGACACCTCCACAAACCCAAATGCCACCAACCAACAAACAACCACTGTTGGTCAATATTCCCCCACCCACAACACAACATTCACCCCATACCACGACGACGGCAACAAGTACCTTGAATTCACCCAGGATGCAGTCGCAACTTCAGCAGCAGGCGCAGGTGCAGCCCACACCACCCCAACACCAACAGCAGCAATCGATTATCATCAAACAAGGAGAAGAATTACATCCATCACAAATATTGCATGTGGTTAGTTCCAAGGCCGCGCCACCAACACCAAATAAAAATGCCATGCCCGCTGGTATGATGGCTTCTTCCTCCGCTTCGCCCTCATCAGCTGCAGCAGCAGCTTCAATGCATTTAATGCCACAGGCGGCAGCAGTGGCTGTTGTTAAACCCTTCAATCCGTATTTGCAACAGAGTCAGGCATCAGTTCATCAACAGCAGCAGCATCAGCATCTACCAATTGTGACCCATCAACAAATCTTGGCTGCAGCCCAGCAGCAACAAAAAGGAAATACCACCACATCATCATTGGTATTGCCACCGGGATTAATGGGTCTGGGACAGCATCCTGCAATGGTGATACAAACCAAAACATCTGGCCCACCCGCCCAATCAGCATCGCCATCATCAACGATAGCGGCAACAACAGCAGGGGGAACAACGGCCTCCTCCGTGGCTCTCAGTCATTTGCAGCAGCAGCAACAGCAGCATGTATCTCAGCATACACCATCACCACCCTTGCAGCAGCAAGTTCCACATTTAGCCAAAGCACCACCGACCAATCCAATGCTACATAGTTTACAGACTCAAAGTGTGGCACGAGGTGTTCTCAGTGCTGTTGGCTCGCCACCACCAACATCGCAACAGCATCAACAACAGGCTGGTGGAAAACCATCACCTCAGTCAGCAACAAATGTTGTTGGAGGTGAGTACTTTGTTGATAATAGATCCCCCCTTCATCAAAAAGAAGTTATTAATTTTGAAATATTTCACTTAGGTGCCGGCAATTTACGTACAACAGTTCCAACAATGAGTCCTCAAAGTCAGGCAAGGTTGGGAACGATTTTGATGCCTGGTGGTATACAAGTGCCACCGCACTTCGAAGCCAATCTGGTAAGTTTTTCAAAAAAAAATATTTGAATTTTTAATTTGGGAATTGGCCAGTAGCCAGTGGGGGAGGGAAAAAACTAACTTCAAAATCTGAATCTCATAACATATTATTATCTAAATTATTATGGACGCAGCATGATATGAACACATATAATAGTGCATCTAAAGGCGTTGCACGCAACACCCACAGTCCTCCGCCTGCACATCAACAGGCATCGCCAATAACACCGGTAAACTTGGAAATTGTATTCTAACATTTTTCGTTTAGCACTACTTTTTAAGATTTCATAATTTTCTAAATTTTCTAAACTCATTCCCCCATTCTCTTCTGCAGAATGATGCCACCTTTGCTGGAGGACCACTACGTACCGTGCCAACACGAGAACATCTTATGATTTATCAGCAAATATTGCGGCAACATGATCCGTCCGTCTTACGTGAATACGATGAACAATTGTTGGGCAGTAGTCCGCCATTGGAATTGAGAAGACCCAGCAGTGTGCCGCGAACAGTGGCTGTGCCGCACAGTCTACAAAGTCCACAGGATAGAGCAACAGGTAGGATCTCTCACAATAACACAATCACACTTCATTTAATCAATTCACACTAACTTATTTAATTTATTCTCTCTCCCCCTTGCCCTTTAGATTCACCTCAAGTTGCCCAGGTTTATGTACATAATGCCCGACTACCCACCCATGCCCATTACGATGTTGCCGGCCGTCCCACAGCTGCTGGGGCACCACCTCCACCCTCTGCCTATTATGATCCTACCAGACAGCTAACATTGGAACCGCCACCAGCTCATCGATCTGCAACTGCTCATAGTGTGGTTGCGCCCCCGCCAACTGTAGTGGTGCCGCATCCATCTGCCGGCACTAGTAGTCCATTTATGCCTTCTGCCCCGCCAGCGACAAATGTTCAACCTGTCCCCTTGACAGGTGGAGCAGCAATGCATCATTCCAAACAATTGTTGGAACGTGAAAGAGAACAACGTGAGCGTGAACGGGAACAACAGTTAATGCGTGAAAAGGAACAACAAATACTCGTTAGAACAGGTAAGTTGAAAGTTCTCTGTTCATTATTTTTCGTTGAAGATTTGAAGAAGAAGTTTCTCATAGAAGAGCTGAAAGATCTTATTCTAGATGCAACGTTTTCTTCTTCAAGATGATCTGAAATCTCATTCACCTAAGAAGATCTGGCCTGTTATTATATTTCCTCATAGAATAGCTGAAAGGTATTTTCAGAGAAAAACTGAAGGCCTTTCTCATAGAAGAGCTGAAAGGTCTTCTTCGTCGTATAGGCGAGATTAAACGTCTTCTCATAGCAAAACTTCTAGAAGATGTGGAAAATATTTTCACGGAAGATCTGTCAGGTCTTCTTCTAGAATTGATGGAATGTCATCTTCCACAAGATCTGAACGGCCTTTTCAAAGAAGATCTGATAGACCTTCTCATAGAATAAAGAAAGGTCTTCTCATAGAAACGCTTAGAGGTATACTCATAGAAGGGGGCTGAAAGGTCTTCACACAAGAGAGCTGAAATTTTTTCTCATAGAAGAGCCCAAATGTCTTCCTCTAGATCTCGAAAACCTCATAGAAAATCTCTTAAAATCTTCTTTTAGAAGAGCTGGAATGTCCACTCATAGAAAATCTGAATGGTTATAACATAGAAGAGACCTTAAATGTCTTCTCATAAAAACTGAATGGTCATAACATAGAAGAGACGTTAAATGTCTTCTAGAATACGAATAGACCTTTGGAAAAAGTATTTAAAAATCCACGATTTCGGATAGACTCCACGAATTCGAGTCTATCGAATTCGGATAGCCTTCAAAAATCCATGATGTCATAGGAAATATTTTTGATAATTTTCTTAGAAAAATTTACGCCTTCGGATAGACCCTTGAACACAGACCTTTTAATACCAACGCCTTCGGATAGACCTTTGAAATTTGTATTAAAAAATCTACGTCTTCGGATAGACCCTTTGAAAACAGACCTATTTAAATAGCAACGCCTTCGGATAGGCCTTTGAAAATTGTCTTTAAAAAAACTATGTCTTGGGATAGACCTTTTACAAAATCCACACCCTCGGTTGAACCTTTTAAAAATGTCCTTTTAAAAACCCCACTCCTTCGGTTGGACCTCTAAAAAATATTTAAAAAAAAAAATCCACTCGTTGTCTAATTTTAAATTAATTTCAATTTTTTCCATTTTCCCTTTAAAGGTGATGCCCATAATATGCAGGTGACAGCGGTCCCATCAACATCTACCCATCAATTGGTGGCACCACATCCCGCAGTGGCACATGCTCAAGTTCCACCACCACCTCAAGCTGATTCACTGTTAACATTGCTGCAACGCTATCCGGTTATGTGGCAAGGTTTGTTGGCTCTGAAAACCGATCAAGCTGCCGTACAAATGCATTTTGTCTTTGGTAATCCACATGTGGCACGAGCCTCCTTGCCCTGTAATAGTGATGGCAGTACACCGCCGTTGCGCATAGCTCAGCGTATGCGTTTGGAACAGACCCAGTTGGAGGGTGTTGCTAAGAAAATGCAGGTATGTTGGGAAAATGATAAAGACAAAATAAAGATATTTCATTAATTAAATGTTTTTCTTTTTGCGTTTTGTCCAGTTTGAAAATGAACATTGTATGCTGTTGGCCCTGCCCTGTGGTCGTGATCATGCCGATGTCTTGCAACAGTCCCGAAATCTACAATCCGGATTTATAACTTATCTGCAACAGAAAATGGCTGCCGGTATTGTGAATATACCAATGCCCGGTAGTGAACAGGCAGCCTATGTGGTACACATATTCCCATCATGTGATTTTGCCAATGAAAATCTTGAGAAGGCAGCCCCAGATCTAAAGAATCGTGTAGCCGATATAGCACATCTATTGATTGTTATTGCTACCGTGTAAACAAAAATACGTCCACACAACAAATACAAAAAAAAGTATTGAACTAAATAAAAATGGCTAGAAGAGAAGATTGTTTTAGTCTTCTTTGCCACCCTCTCTAACCTAAACACTACTCGTGATGATGATATCGATGATGTTTTGAAACTACACTACTACAAAAAGAAATATATATATATAAATATGATGATGTGAAACCAAATTTTAACATACAAAAAAGTAAAGTTATTTTTAAACAACTAAACAAATAGTGTGATTTCATGCTATTATTAAAACAATTGTAATATTTATAATATAAAAAACAAGAAAAAACAGAATATAGTAAACTACAAATTTTTAACACAACAGAAAAATATTTAAACCCGAAAAAAAAAATAAATACAAATTTCACCAGACCTAGTTAGAGCGATGAAACTATACTACAAAAAACAAAAACGGTTAAGATAAATATCTTAAAACAAATACAACAGCAACAAAACAAAAGAAAACCATGTATAAAGCAAAATAAAAAAACAACTATTTAATTATTATACAACAGAAAAGGAAACGCAAACTGAAAATATATTATTAAAAAACACACTTTCCTCTCCCTCCCCCTCTTCTTGTACTATACAATATAATATACTATTCTACTCTACTACTATCATATACAAAATGCTAATATAATAATATTTATAATGTAATAATAATAATAATGGATCCTAAGTGTTTCTTTTAATTATAAATAATTTATATACATTTTTTTGTAAGGATTTCAAAGGAAAAACACACACACAACAAAATATATATATACATATAATATTTTTTTGTATAGAAGAAACAAACAAAGAAAAAACACAAACAGCTGTTATAAGTTGATGTTGAGAATTTGTTTTTGTGCGAAGAAGGAGAGTAAAAGAGAAAACTAAAAATGTAAAAGAGATATAAGCATAAGATTAAGATTTTTTTTTGTTTTTAATGTTAAATATAAAACCTATTTTTTTGCTCTAATAATAATGAAGTAGACTATAGTTTCATATATTACGTATTTTTTTTTTTAATTTTTATTATTTTTTTTATTATTATATAATTTAACCTTATTTTTACGTAAAATTAGTTTTTTTTTCTAATTTTAATACAAAACAAAATATTATAAGGTAATAAAAAACAAACAGTTAAACAAAAAAGTAAAGAAAACAAAAAAACAACAAATAAATACATACATTAATTTATTATTATTATTTTATTTTGATCTCAATGACGATGACGACATATGAAAGAAAATAAAACAAACAAAAAATGAAATTTTCAAAACAAACAAAATAAGAAAATATTGTAATTCCTGCTGTGTCTGTCCACCCACACCACACCACCAACCATCATAGAAAGTGTAACCCCCGTTAAACCATGTTAAATATTGTGTATTTCATCTGTAGTGAAGTGGAAATGTTTAGGTGTTTTGTCTGATTTTTTTTATTTCGATTTTTTTTTTTGTTTTTCCTTCGCTATGTGTTTATGTGTACTCTTTTTTATTGTTTGGATTCAAAATTTTGTGTTTTTTTTTTAATGTTATTTAAAGTTTAGTTATTTAATGTGTGTATGTGTATAGAATTTTCCAATTTTTTTTTCAGCCTGAGAAGCTTTTAATTTTAAGTCTTTCTAGAAATTATTATTATAATGGAAAAAATTCTATACAACATATTTTTATTCTCCGGCCAAAAAACAAAAGCCTTTACTTTATTTTTTGTTTTTGTCGAGGTAAAGGAAACTACATCAACAAAGGAATCTAAAAGAAACTATTTACAGAAAGATAATTATATTACAAATAAAAAAAATAATTATAATTACATCAAAAATTTAATTTTAGTTAAGTTAAAAATTTTTATTAGATTAAAAATTTAATCAATTAAAATTAAATTTTTAATTTAATTAAAATTACATTTTTATTTAATATAAATTAAAACATTAATTCAATTTATTTTTAATAAATTAAAAAATTAAAAATTTAATTAACTAAAATTAATTTTAATTATTTTTTAATTTAATTAAAAATACATTTTTTATTTAATTTAAATTAAATTTTTAATTGAATTAAAATTAAATTTAATTTACTTAAATTTTTATTTCATTTTAATTAACTTTTTAATTTAATTTAACTAAAATTTTATTAAAATTGAATTTTTAATTTAATTGAAATTGAATTTTTAATTTAATTGAAATTAAATTTTTAGTTTAATCAAAAAAAATATTTTTTATTTAATTAAAATTAAATAAAAAATATTTTTTTATATTTTTTGTTTTTATTAAAATCTAATTTTATTATTATTATTATTAAAAATTTAAATTATTTTTCATTTTCTTTGAAATTAAATTAAATATTTGGTGTAGTTATTCCCTACCACCGATATATTATATCGGACCCATATTATGGAACCCTCTTGAAAACAAAAAATAAACTAAATGCTTTTATTAAAAAAAAAACAACAACAACCGATGTAAATAGTTTTATGTTTAAATCACACACTGCCACCCACACATCCAAACAAAAATAAAAAAATATTTTCAAAAAAAAAAAAGAAAAATTAAATCTTCTTAAATTACAAGCAATTAATATTTTCCATCATGAAAAAAGGTTGTCTTGTTTTTTAAGAACATTTAATTTTGCTTTTGAATCTATTATATTTAAAAAAACAATGTTTTACAATTTATTTATTTAATTTTTTTTTGTATTTATTTTAATTGATTTTAAAATTAGTTTTAAATTTACAAAACTCTAAGTTAATGATGACAGAATACACATGGGCTTAGTTAATATCTGTGGGCATGGCATATGGAAATCAATTTATTTTGGAAATATTAAAAAATATCCAATGGCTACAAATGTTCCTGCGAGATGGCTACAAATGTTCCTGCGAGAAATGCAGAACATGTCCTGTTTTCCCTAGGCGTTTTCAATAAAATAGTACAAAAAACTATTTCCAATTCAGCTATACTTGAAACCCCAAAACAATTGCCGAAATTCTAACTATTATAGATTTCCCTTTAAAGGATATTAGAGATATAGCAAATTCTGCCGCCTTTTCAAAATTTAAAAATACGAACATAAGGATCCCATAAAAGTCCCCAAATCTGCTTCACTTTGAGCTTAATTTTTCTTGGAAGTATTGAAGAGTTTCATTCACATTCATGTTTTAGGAGATTATCTGAGTCAACTCCAAGCGATGGTGATCTTTGCTAAAATCCTGCTCCCTCCTGAGGAGGGTGAAGTTTTTTTTCCAAAAATTAGATGATTTAAACTCCAATCGATTCTGATGTCCTATTACTACATTAATGGATTTTTTTTTTACAAATTTTGGAGAACAAGAAGAAAATTCAGAAATTCTCAGAATTTTCATTCTAACTCAGAACCGAAAATTTAAATTTTTAACACAAATACTTGATTCTTGATTCAAAATCAAATAACTCCAAGACTTATGAGGAAGTTTCCATGGAACCATAGCTTGTTTTTTTATATAGTCCTAACTGTTTTTAATAGAAATTTGGGGGCGAATTAAAATTTGGTTTTAAATATCATCGAACCAGAAAAAAATCCCCTTTATAATACCATGTCTGAGACATTGCAGGCCCATGTACATTAATTTTTTTTTTTTTTTACAAAAAGTAAACTTTTTAACATTTAAATAACACCAAAAAAAGAGCATACACTTAAATATATTCATCTCACTGCAGAAACTACTCTTTTTTTCATGGAGTATCAAATTTTTAACAATAAATAATTTGTAGAATTTTCCAAATTTTTTCCGAAATTTCAGCAAATAACAACACTACTTAAATACACACATACAATGATCTATAACATCCTGTGTAACATAACAACTAATTTCCAGGAAAAAAAATATTTTCCTATAATACCCCCATGTATATACAAAAAAAAATAAAATAAAAATCTACTACCTAGGTCCTTTAAAAAAAATGAACAATTCTAAAACAAAAAAACAACTTTGTACAGTACCAACCCCATATGTTTTTTCTTAGGATTTAGCTTTAAAAAAGAAAGTAAGAAAATAAATATATGAAAAAAAAAAACAAAAACACAAATATTAAAAATAATAATATAAATATTATATTTAACTGTATGTTATAATTCTAAAAAAATAAAGCAAACAAAACCCCTAAATGTAATATATAAATAAATATAAAAACTAATCTATTATAAAAGATACAAAAATAAAACAAAATAATAAAAAAGTAAACATCGTTATTATATTGCTATTAAAAAAACAAAATACCAGAAATTAAAAAAAGAAAAAAAAAACAAAAAAAAAATACAACCAACAAATTAGCATGTTAATAAACTATTAATAATAAATGAGAAAAAACTACCTTACAAATAATAAATATCTATATATACACATACAGATAAAATATATATAAATATTATAATTATTATTAACAAAAGAAAATAAATTAAGAAAATAAAATAAAACTTTACACGTTAAGCATTATTATTATCTTTTTTAATTTTAAGTTGTATTATTATTATTAAATAAAACAACAAAAACAAAATATCTGAAAACAGATAAATATTAAAACATAAAACAAAACAAAAAAAAAAACAAATCTAAAGAAGAAACAAATAAACAAAAAAAAAAAATAATTTTATTTAATTTTTATTTTGAAATAAAAACGAAAAACAAATTCAATAAAAAAACTTTTGTGGGTTTTATTTGGGGATTTATTTGTAAGAATTTCATTTAGGAAATACCACAGTGCAAACATTTTTTAAAGTTATTTTTCAGAGACTAGCATACGGCGGAATTAAAAAAAAAACAATCTGGGATTTCATCTTCCACAGGTTAAAGGTCATAATTAGTTTTATATATGTATTTAATTTCTAGTTTCTACACAAATTAATATATTTGGATTTTCCTTTTGGCCTTGGAGGCATTAGTATATATTTTATAACTTAGTGTTGGCAACCCTGCCCCATAGTATGAGCTCAGTTGGTTTGCAGTTTTCGTTTT